GAACACGCTTCGATTCGATAGGGTTGAATTGACGTGCATCAAATCAACCGGGTAGTTGTATCCTCTAGACGACGTCCGTACCGAGCACGATTGGGGACGAAATTTCATCTTAGGACACTGCAATTCGCAGGCCTCTATCCTCTTATTCTTGTTCAATTCTACGTTCAATTCTACATTCAATATCGAATAAGGTACACGATTTATAAATTTCAAGTATTTTGATCATTATTTTGTAGTTGTTTTCGTTATTTCGTGATTTGTTGTCGATTAGTCATAACACCATATAGCAATTCGTGGTAGGATTTCTTGAAGGTTTTAAGTTTCAGACAACGAATTGTAAAGATCAAAAACATTACTAATGACATGCATGCCAAAGCACAAGGTACATTATACTAGACAAGCAGGGGTAGAGTGGGGAGTAGTTTTAATAAGTGGAAGTCGGAGTATTCTGTTACAAAGGGTAAGAAGGGAAAAGTAGCTTTAAGAGTAGGAGGGGAAAATTATTTATTATCTTTATCAGCAGTTAGTTATACGAATTTAAACATAAAGCTTTAATAAATTATATTTATACTCAATCAACTTGTAATCTTGAATTTAATATAATATCGATTAATAAGTGGTGCTTGATGCATAAAAGATAGTTTTTAAAACTTTACCTTAAACATTACAAAAATAAAAGTAGGGGGATAATATCAATGAGAGAAAAGTACAAGGGGTATATATGTCTTGAGGAGCGATCAAATAAAAACATCCTCATTTGTACAAATCATACAAACCATCCTCATACATCGATTTCATTGTTTAATCTTATGAAATTTTTTCATAAAATTGTTTAATCTTGTGAAATTGTTTCATATAATATTTTTTTTGATGAATTTGTTTCATATATGGTTATGAAATTTTCATATAATATTTAATAAAATTTTAATAACAATTTCATATATTTTTTTAAAATTAAAATAATAAAGATGATAATATCCATGATTAACAACCTCCACAATAAAATGATTAATCAACCTTTCATAATTATAAAAAAATAAATAAAATAAAAAATTATGATTAAATGAACGTGATTTTTATGGTTTATACGAATTAATTTGATCGTCATGTCCTTAGGGGGTGTTTGGGATTGCTTATTTTATTTGTTTATTGACTTATTTCAGTCTGGCACCGGTGATAAGCTAATACCTAGTGTTTGGATAAGAAAAAAGAAAACTGCTTATACCGGTGCCAAACCTGTAATAAGCAGTTTTTGATAAGTTAATCCGTCCTGACTTATGAAAAACTGCTTATTACCAGTTTACCATTTTAACCCTATTACCCTTCATACCTATCTTTTTTCCTCCAGATAACATCGATCTCAATCTTCTCCCTTCTTCATATAACAACATCAATCTTCTCTCTGTCCTTTTTGATCATTTTACAGATATAAGCAAAATTTACCAAACACTAAAAAACAACTTATCAGCTTATTGCAGTTTGGTACCACTATAAACTAATCCAAACACTTTTTACAAAACTCCAATTTGATACCACATAAGTTAATAAGTACTTAAAAAAAAAAAAAAAAAAGTTGTTTTAAATAAGCAATCCCAAACATCCCTTAAAATAAAGGTTGAAGGGTGGAATGAACATTGGTTTCGATGAGCGTGTTCGGAGGAGACAGTTGGGGAAGAGAAGCACAGTACCGGAAGAGGAGAGTCGACGATCTCCTGTTGGACACCGCCGATCATTCTTCCTACAGGAAGCTTCCTACCGGAAAATATGCCTGCCTCGTCTGCCCTCATAATCCAGTCCTCGATACTCCTCTCATGCTATCTGTATGTTATATCCTAACCCTAACCCTAAAAATCCCCCCTTTGTGATACAATTTAACTGCTGTATTTTCTGTGTGATATCTAGATATGTGGACTACGCATACATTTGTAACTATCATATGCCAAACAGATTGAAGTATATTAAGTACAGTTTTCTTTGGTTCACATGCTGTACACCTTGGTTCCAGAAATGGTTGACAATGGAGCAGTATTACAGCCTCCAGATCAATGGGAATTTTTAAATATGGATTTCAGCGTTTCTCCCCATCTTGTGTGGTGGCGGACGAGGGTTTGGAATGGGAAGTTTACATCCTGTCCCTGTTCCCGAATCCTCAAAAGCTGATTTCTGAATATAGGGATTTTCATATAGATAGAAGCAGGACGACAAGCTCAATAATCAAATCATGTTTTTTTCCCAAAGTTTTTCAACTTATATAATTGATTAGAAACTCGAACATATCCTAATTAAAAACATGAGGATTTCTTCTGAAATGAAACCATCAAATCTTGAAAAATCAAATGGTGGATAGATGATATTGTTTATGCGTGTGCTTGAAGTAGAGGGAGTCTGAGATGGATGAGATTGTGTATAGATGCTGGCCCTGCTGGAGGCATTAGACGGAGAGAGCTCGGAAATTGGAACTTGAGAGGAGATGTGAGAGGGGTTGAAAATGTTACGCACTTCGCCTCTTGGTGTCATGTACTGAAGAATGGACTACTTACTTGTACATCTATATGTTCATCAAAGGCAAAGACGGTTCTGAATTTCCTCAAAATCATTATTGTTGCCAAAAACTGAGCCTGAAACCCTTTTCGTCAAACTTGCTTGTGAACAGGATGGAACTGGAACGGCTGGGTTTTCCAAAAGTTTTGCAAATAGCTAAGATTGAAAAAGTCAAGTAGCTGGATTTTGAGATCATGTTGTGTGGATTGTTTATGGTTATGACATAAGGATGGGACTTATCAGGCTGGCAATCTAATAGCAATAGATTTTGACGATTTGCCTATTAAACTTGAACATCAGATAAATGCAATTCAGATGTGAATAAGAGAAGGGCATAGCAAAAAAGCAAGATGAACACATAGTAATTAATTAGCTTACCTTTCTTTGTATGAAGAAACTACATGGGAAGAAAGTGATTAATGTTTGGCTTTCAAGTTTTATCATGTTATTTTAGGTCATTCACATTTGTCATCTTTGCTAGCTTATCAACTACTTTTAACCAAGCATGATTAGTTTATCGGCTAGCATTGCAGATAACAGTTAACTTATCAACCAACAACTAATTTATCTGCTAGTTTGCCAAACATAGCCCTAGATGTTCCTAGATTCCGATTCATCTTAGCAGGTGCTTCTTGGTCAATAACTTTTGATACTCTTTGGAAATCAATTTGCAGATGCACATGAAAGCAAGTCGCCACTGTGCTGCAGAAAGGAAGCTCAAACAAAGAGAAGAAGAAAGACAAAATGACATGAATAAGAGAATAGCCTTGTCACTAGAATCAACTTCCATGACCAGAACTGGTAACACATCCACCAAGCAGACAAACTTAGCTGCAAAACCGTTGATTGAGAGAACACGTAAGGCCACTTTGGAGGTACTTAATGGTTATCCTGAGAGAGGTGCTGCAAATAACAGTCAATCTAGATGGCCAATCCCCGAGAGATCATCTGATTTGACCAATTCAACCTCTGTTCAAATGGAGGGATCTGGTAAGGACGTTGTGCAGCTCCTATCAGATCATCGAGAGCGCAGGGAGAGAGAACTTAGGTTCACATCAGCTGGTTGGAAGCGCGACTGCCATGGAGGGTGGTTTAGAGATGAAAATGTAAACCTTTCTTTATCCCCCATAAACGGTGATTTTGTAACTTCAGTCAGATTCCCAAAAAAATTATCCTGATTCTAATTCAAGTTTCATGCAGGTTGAATTTGATTCTGATGAAGAAGATCCAAATGTTTCTCTTGCAATTGGAGAATGAGTGATGATTATTCATCGATGGTGTAATCAACTAGATCTTGTAAGCAATGCACAGAAGAATCTATGGCGTCTGAACTATTGTGGCGCTCTGGTAAGATCTGAAGGATAAATTGTTTCTTTGTGATAAACTACTATAAGATAAACAACTGATCAATCGTATAAAAAACAATTCATGTGTACAAATTTTATTAACAAAATCACTAATTTATACGCGCTCTGTGGCAAAACATCATGACTTGAATATATGATCTCTGAGAGAATTTTCGAGTAAAAATCCACTGCTATCTGAAAGTTATCTAAATGTTCAAATGGATTCTTTAGATGATGATGAGGAGGAGTCTTTGATAGAATTTTTTCTGATATGCTGTTGGGATCCTATGGTAACTATCAAATTAAGTACTTGTAGTTGTAACTTACAACACATCAACGCCCATCTCATTTCATGCAACATTTAGGGGGCTGTGTACTTACAGCTTAATAAGGTTAATGGTCTGGGCGCTTATTCGTTCAGCCATACAAGATTGTTTCTTTACGGCTTAATCGCTAAGTTCGTAAACTGATTGTATACCACCACTGATAAACACAGAATATGTGATCTGTCTCCGCTTTTGGGGGCGGGAGTGACATTGAATGATCTGAGGACGCTGGGCAGGAAGCTACTGCTTCTAGAATGGTTGCTTATCCATTAAGCCAAAATGGCTGTATAGAACAAGCCAGGCCCCTGTTCTCATTATGCCATCTCAAACAAATTAAAATAGCAATGGTAATAGCGTTTTCGCTATTATCACTGCTAAATACCTCTATTTAGTCGTTATTCTGAAACATAGACCCGACCTGAGATATATTGGACATGTTTGGTTGTGATAGTTTCACATCTCAACTTAGAAACCGAAGGTTTATGCTTTATGGGTATGTTTTACGGAAGGAAAAAGTTGTAATCATGACCGAGTTGTGTTTGTTGACCCATGTGTGCAAGATTGGGTTTCATTTCGGAAAAAGAAAACGGTTGTGTGGTTCGAGTTCACGACTAGGAATGAAATTATATTCGTCGGTCAAACTTTTCGGCATACGATAGAAACAATTGCAATTATGTTGAAATAGTGTGATAGGGATCATGTCAATCTTCTATAAAAAAAATAAAAGCTTGCCTGATTTAACGATGGACAGATTCGAGTACATGATGACAGTTTAAAAAAAGGTGTTGGAAAATATGTTGAGGGTGATGTTAAATGAATCATTTCTATTTAAATATGGTAATTAAATCATTCTTACTGATTTCATAGTGATATATATATATATGTATATATATATGTATATATATATATATGTATATATATATATATATATATGTATGTATGAATATCAAAGTATAATATTGTACAAATTATAATGCTACGATTCATGTGTAACAAGTTTACAAGTTCAAAGTATGAGTGGTGGTGATTGACTATGTTGCTTTGACTTTTGAAAATGTGTTTTGTCAAACAAATCGGCCACTGGACTTTACAAGATATAAGAGTTATTTGTTTACCTTTTAATAGTTTTTTTAAGAGGGTTGTTTGTTTACCTCTTAATAGTTTCATTAAAGGGGTTGTTTGTTTATTTCTTAATAGTTTCATTAAGAGACAATCTCTGAACCATTAAGAGGTGAATCTTATTTGGCAAAAAAAAAGTTTGTCTCTTAATGGTTGATAAACTCTCTGAATGATTTTGTATCATAAATCTCTCTTAATCATTAAGAGCCCTAATTTCATTGTACACAATTACTAAACAATTATATTTCATTTTGCAATATATTATGAGAGTCTTTTAATCATTCTGACTACTTAATCATTCAACAATTGTCAAACAGCTCCATAATCTCTATCCTTTGACGTGAGATGCACCAGATCAATCCTTGTATTAAGCATGATTTATAGATGAATTTGAGATTAAAGATAATTAAGGGTTCAGATCTTTTCTTATGCTTCTCACCTTAACTTTCTTTCTCACACGATCTTTCGTCGCGCTCTCTCTCTCTCTCTCTCTCTCTCTCTCTATATATATATATATATATACACACACACACACACACATCCTGATAAGGGAAAAAGAGATTTTCACTCCTAGATCGATCCTAATTGCATGTCAACATTAATGAGGTATACCGAGATACACCAGATCAATTATTCCCTTATGAATCATAATTCATGAGTGTGCATAAGATTAAAAATGATCAAGAGTTCAAATCTCTTTTTACGCATCTCTCTATAACTTTCCTTCTCATACGATTATGTGCTTATATATATATATATATATATATATATATATATATATATATATATATATGGGAGCGATCAAATGCAAACCACTCAATTTGTACAAACCGTGCAAACCGCATTCAACCAATCATAATTTTTCATTTTGTTCATTTTTTTGTAATTA